AAAATACAACCTCTTTACAAGCAGTATGTATACAGCCAAAGTTGCATACTGGCCACCAAGGCATTTATCGTTGGTTAAAGAAAATATATAGAAAAAGAAAAATATGAAGTCCGATAGTTTTGAGTTTTTTTGTACATATTTGTGTAAATAAGTTTTAAATAAAGATGTATTAGTTTGATAAAAGGTGTTATGTATTTTTGGCTGCCGCGATGTCGGTAACAAGTTAAACAGTAGGCGCGCGCAAACAACGAGCGGGGGGCACCGCACGTTTTGATTCCTATGAGTTATAGCGGTCCACTACTCGATTTTTACTGCAACTAAAGAGTTGACTTGTAAAACAATCGACAATTGTGTTGTGCGATCTTTTATGAGCAAGTCTACAGGCTGAAAATGCTCGATCATCAATACCCCTATCCTTCCATCTATATTATTATAATAAAGCGTAAACACACACTTCTTTGTTGCCTATATTTTATTATTACTAATGTTTATGAACTATTAATAAACAGCGTGTTTCTGGACGCCGGCGTTAAAAATTCACTAAACTTTAACTTTTCTCGGCTTACGCTGCCTAAACCGTTAGAGCTATATAAAAATGATGTATGACAGAATTGTAGAACTCAAAAAGTTCTACAGAAAAGTCCGCGATAGCATATATCTATCTTTAACAGTTTTACATTAACCACTTTTTTGTTTACAAAATGAATTAAAAACCACACGCTGTTTGCAGCGTTCTTTTATTGGTTTCAATATTAATTCTTATCCAAATAAATGCGTTTGTTATCAGGAGAATTTAATGTAGAATAAAATTGTCCTTTACGGTAATTAAATTGGACTAATCGTTTAGAAGATATCGCAAACATAAGCAATAAGGGTAACCGAAAAATCAACTTACAAGCTACCGGGCTTAGAAATTTGAAATCTTGCATCGGTAGATTTTTGTTATTACGTAGATTACTACTATTAGACAACTTATTAATTTGAGACTGTCGCTTTAAACTCAGAGCAATACTTTTCGCCACTCTCGATGCGCGCCAAATCTATCTATACTTTTAGTGACATTGACAGCTGTCAGCTAGGGACGTGACGTTTATGCCGATAATCTAGAGTTGCACCAACTCTACAGCACGGTACTAATTTTGTTCCTAACACTACTAAGTTAATACTTTTGATAATAAGTTGGAAAAGGGGTAACGTAATAGGTTATGTTTGTAATTTCACGCGGGCGAAGTCGCGAGCAACAGGTAGTATTTCATATAATTAAAATTAGTATTAAAAAGTTTGTGTTTTTCTTTTTAAAAAAGGACCCACGAACCGCCATCCTAACAGATCGTTTAGTAGGTGTGCGCCTCTTGTCTCACAGGATATAAAAGTCAGGGATAATATAAATAATTAATTTACGTCTTAACAATACATTTTTAATCTATGCAAGAATTTTAAAATTCCATTACTCTTAGTAAAAAACGTTTAAATGTTAATTTTTAATAATAAAACAACAAACCAGTACTTTATAGCATTTTAATTGAGCGGTAAAGTTGTGCAGATAAAGAATTTAATTCACTACCCAGTTGTGAAATCGTAAAGCAAACTACCACTGGAATAACACACTAGAAGATAAACCGAGGCCTAGTTTTA